AACAGATATACACAAATAATAAGATGGGCGGCCTCAGCGCTTATTATGGTAGTACTACCTGGCTTTCCTGGTCCGGCCCGGGTCATCGTTTGAGAGGATGGCCAAAAATTACACTTACTAACGACTTATTAATAACGACCCAAAAGAGCGAAAATACGGAAAAATTGACCATATTGCGAAAATTGAAAAAATACGTTACAAAAACAACTTTTTTGCATAGAACATTACGATCAAATATGATCGCTGAGCCTTCTGAGCCCTTGTAGGGCTTATCGAAGAAGCAATCGGTTGAAGACTGAGAAGATTGCTTCAATCAGCGATCAGTAATCTAGCAAAAAGCCAATTTCTCAAAGTTTCCGCGTCGTCTGTGCAAGGTGCACAGATTGCGATTGGAGCGCGCTTTCCGAGGCCGACCATAACGCTGTGAACCCTGTTTGGGGCTGTATCGAAGCGGTGCCTTGGTGGTTTTGGAAGCGGATTTGAACATGTAGTAATACTCTCGACCTAAGCCACATTTATGTAAAGAAATCCGGGAAATTATGTGAAGGAAAGCAGGGAGCCACCAAAGGTGGCTCCCAGGTGGCGCGGGAGCCACCTAATTTCGAAAAACACTTACCATTTTTTAAATTCACATAAGTTTCTCATAATTTTTCATACTTTGTTACTTAGTCCTACTGCGCATATACACACCAAATCCCGCGCAATTTCGTCACCTCTGCATTGCAAACGAGCCATTTTTCCATTTTCTTGATAGTGGGAAATTTTCAGAAAAAACCTTGCTACAACCTTCAGTCACATAATTTTTCAATGAAACTCCTAACTAATCTCTTACAAACTTGTGTCCACGTATGTACCAAGTCTCGTAGCATACCGTCATCTGCGCGTTGCAAACGAGCCAATTGAATGCGCATCTTCATTTACCAATTTTACAAAATTTTCAAAAAAAAAATGCTTATTACTCGTTCCGTTCACATAAGTTTTTCATGATTTTTCATACTTTGTTTCCATTAGCCTCTCTCCGTTCGCTTACAAAATTTGGTGCCATATCGTTACGCATACATTGAGAACTCGTCATTTATGCGTTACAAACAGCATTGTTTGAGCGACGTCGAGCGTGCGGCAGTTAGCGACGGCGCGGTTTTACACGCGCGAACTCCAGTGTTTGCCTGTTGAGGGACATAACATGTTAAGATAAGCAGCGAGCATGAACTACCAATTTTTTTCCGGGGCTCCGCCCCGGACCCCAAAAAACGATTTCCCCCTTGCTTTTTCGGGCCAAAAACGATATCCAGCTTGTGAAAGCGCCACCCCCGCCGGGCCCTGGGTCAAACCAGAGTCAAGATAAATCTTAATGCGCAGAAAACTTGCGTAGAACTCATCTCACCGTCGCTGATGTCTGAATTGGATATGTGTGACCACTCTTCGATATAGAATACGATATTGCATATTCTCATATGGAATGTACACATTTGGCATTATACCGAATTTTACCAATGCCAGTTATTTGAAAAAAAAATCCTTGATCCAACTTCTTGTTGTAATGCTGTATCGGTTTCTTTATTCTACTGTAACAATAAATCACATATACAGGGTGTCCCAAAAGTATGTATCGAACGTTTGATCGTTAATAACTCTCTTCCCAAGAAGTCTTTTGCCTTGCTTCAGGTACCGTTTTGTAGAGCTGGCTTCAACTTAGATTTGCAGTATAGAACGAATCACTCATTTCTCTTCATTACTGTAGGATTACGGTAGAAACTTCAAGGAGGGTTTTAAGCAATGAAAGGCCATATTTTGCCCCAGAAAGGAAACAAAACAGCCTTAAAACTTTTACACTAGGCTAATTAGAGTTGCTGATTATAAGTGTAAAGTTCCCAACTTATTATGATGCTTCATTGAAGAGTTATGCCAGGTAAGAAGTAGCGGCCATTTTTTCAATGTTCCTAAAAAGTGGGATTGCACCGTTTAGAAAGCTTCGTAATCTTGTGAATAGTTAATTATTGAACTCAGCGTCCATAAAAACCCTATTACACAAGTTTTCACGATTTTTTGAAAAATTTTGAAACGGCAGCTTTTTTCACATTAACACCATATGTTTCAAGTTTCTACCGCAATCCTACAGTAATGAAGAGAGATGATTGATTCGTTCTATAGTGCAAATCTAAGTTGAAGCCAGCTCTACAAAACGGTACCTGAAGCAAGGCAAAAGACTTCTTGGGAAGAGAGTTATTAACGATCAAACGTTCGATACATACTTTTGGGACACCCTGTATTATCATCATATATATTTCCTTACATTCAATCTTTCGCCGATTATAGTTTATAATCGTGGTTTCCTTTTGCAAGATTGCTTTTATTACTGTAATTTATTCAGCTCTACCTTCAAATCCTTTGCCGCGCATGCTTTTTTTTCAGTAGTGAAGTATTCCCCTATTTGTAGATGTTTTTATGACGTTTGCGCGAAAATCTTTACAACAACAAAGTGTCGAAAGAGTGTCATTTCTTGACCCACTTCCCTTGTGTGTGTTCAATGTGCCTCTCGGCCCATAGTGGCTTTTTGAATGAGTTGTCGTTTCAAGTCGAATCATCTTGGGAGCCGAAAGTGTCCTGTGTCAAATACTAGATACTATCTCAACAAAATGATTACCTGCCTGCGTTGAAATCGTTTCCTTGAGAGTACTTGACAATGCCCAGATCTTCTTTTTGAAGCATTCTATTGCCTGCAATATGCTCGTGTGCTAATGATTTTCAAGTTTCCTAATTACATGAGCTTCTTCTGGAACGCAGAAGACACTGTGATTCCAGCTAAGGCTGGTTGCATTAGCTAATCACAGAAAAAATTGTATAGGTCTGGAATCTCTGTGCTACATTGGATAGCATGATTGGTCGTAACCCAGCTCTTTGTTCGTCAATTGTCATTCGGTGACACGGTCCAGCTTAATCATAGTCTACTTTCTTGATGCGTAAGTCTCTTTTCGAAAACAAAGTCAAGAAAATGTAGCCTGCCATCTCTGTCGATTTGCAATCTCACAAGATTGTCGGATGTGAATTCTTTTCGAACTATCGAACATATCATACGATTCTATAGTGCTTGAAATAACTCGGTAAGCAATTATTATTTGCATGTTCTGGGGCAGCGCATATTCTTTGATGCAAAAGAAACATATTTCGTGTCACAATTCATATACAGAGTTTTCCAAAATGATGTACCTGACGTTTGATCGCCTATGACTCTCTTGCGTGGATAGCTTTCGCGCATCGTTTTGTGGGCTGACTGCAATTTAGATTGCTTTTCATAACTGTAAATTTACGGCTTGATGCAATATATCCTAAACTGGTGCAAAGTTGGCAACTTTGGCACTATTGGCAAAATTTTGCACCCTTTAGGATAATTGTCTCAAGAAATTGTCCGAAAAGCTGAAGACTTTGTTACCAGTCAATAGCACTGTTGATCTCACACGAGCTTATCGCAGTCGCTTATTCAATATTTACATTGGTATAAAGTAAAAGTTGTGTTTTCAAGATCTATCAAAATCTGACCAAACCCAACCTGCTCTACGAACATGTAAAAAAGTTCTCTACCGGAATCAAAAGGTCTAGGATCCACCAAACAATAGTTTTCAGATGTTCTGAAAAAATTTTTTTAACTGGCAGCCGGTTTATGTTGCATTGTCGAAACCTCCTAGCGTAATCCGACAGGCAGAGCGTTAGCTAACTTTGTACTGTTGAACCTTAGCTGAAACCAGCCCTACAAAATGGTATCTGAAGCTTCGCGAAAGTGTTCAAAGGAGAAACTTACTGTCGTTATACTCACATTTTAAATCCATTTTATTTATACTTGTGTAATCTAAAAATAGGCACTGTATTAGCAAAAACTCCGGTATCCATCGTCGAGAAATCGAAATCTGCTTGTTCAAAGTTCGACGCTTTCCCTAGCTTTTTTGCGTGCAGGAAGCGTCTATCTCAAATTTATGGGGGAACCTGCTGCTAGCGAAAACGCATATTCATGAGGAACTTAGTTTTTGTCTTTTAAATGTTTTTATAAAGCAATATAAAGGAGATTTTTTGAGATTAGCAACAGTAATAGTTGAAATGTAGTTTAGTATCGCGTAGCCAGCACAAATTTTGCGTCAAGCTTACAAAAGCACAATTTGTAGAGGAGGTGCTTATATTTTTTCCTCGGATTCCTGTTCTACAATCTGCTGTCTAAGCGAAGAAACTGTTCAAGGTTCAAGCCCCAAACAAATCGCATTCAAATTCTTTGCTCCATCAGTTGTCATCATTCTTCTCCGAAATCTGCTTGCCCCAAGAATGTTGCAAACGAAAGATTTATCCGTTTCTAGTGACGATAAGCATTGGTGGATAAGATCCAGCTGATATGGCCAACGTCTCATCTCGCAAAAGCAAATTCATTCGTTTAAATAAGAGCTGAACTATAGTGACGAACTTCATCCATCACTTCTATTTGAATATTTTTTGTCCCCATCTTCAAATAGCACCATGTTTCATTATTTTAGCCGAAGTTTTCGAGGTGATTTTGATTTATCGCTCATCTCCCTCAACCGCGTTTCTCCCAAGTGATTCCTTCACCTTCGTAAAGAAGGTGAAGGAATCATTTGGGAGAAAGTGGAATAGAATAGAATCGTATAGAATAAGTGCACAGTGGACTTGACGTTGAAGGAATGCATAGAACCTGCTTCGCTGCGCACATTACGGATGGATATAATCCGCGAAATTGCGTCATATTCTTACGGACGAGTTTCTGAGGAATGGCTTCAGCTAGCAAATTGCGGTATATGGTGCTCGAGAAAATAGCGGCTTATGGATACTTTTCGTACTATTCTGCGAACACTCTCACATTTACTGCGGCTTCGTTTCGTCGCATTTGCCTTTAGAATCCGATGGCTCAGAGCACATTTCGTTGGATTTTATCATTTTCTCTTGATTGATTGTACCTTCATGATTCAAATGCAGCTCAGCTGAGTCTCAAAAAAATCTTCGCTATGTTCTGTAATGTAAAAATTTCAGAGATAGGTGAATCATGCCCAACGAAGAGAAGGGCGAGGAGAAATCGCCAACTCCTCCTTTGAATGCCAAAGGGCTTTTTGAGACATACGAGAAAGACGGGAAAAGGATCACCGAAATTCTAAGGTGCGTTATGAAGGAGCTGAGCTGAATAGCAGATGTTTTTCGTTTAGATTCAATGCAGTCGAAGTTTTCTTTGCTGGTTTTCTGCCACCAGTGGTGGGTTCGGTTTCTGCCATCGCCATTGCTCTGATATTCCACAACGACGAAATTAGTAATTATAACTGGCAATGCGGTGTGAGTCTGCTCAAAAATTCAATTTTTAAAAATTAATTTATCAATCGATTGAACTTCGCTTTTTTTCCAGCGCGCTCGCTTACCTTCGCTCTCGAGAATCATCAATCTTTCCGTTGAGAGAACCTTTTGGCAACTTTTCATCCTCTTCCACGTACCCATACGAGTAATAGAACTCATTACAGGCTGTGAGTACCATTAGCGCACGATTTTACTTGGCAAAGAATTCATTCCCAATTTCAAAACCCTTTCTTCTAGTTTCTCGATACAAAAGGCTGCGCAACATCCATTACAAGCACACATGGCTCTACGAAATCTCGCGATACATCTACTTTTACATCGGATTGGCTGAGCTGCTCTTTCTTGCAGCTTTATCAATTATCGGAGAAAGAGAGAATATTCGTGAGTTTTGCTCAAATGTTGAAAGTCATACGTTTGATTGATGCATCCATATTGCTTTCACTAGCTAGCAATAATTTTTGATTCATTCAAAGTAAGCGTTAACAACAGTGCCATCGACATTCAACAGTAGAACATTTCATTCCTTAATACATTCACGACAAGGCCGATTTTTCAATTACTGCCGTTTCGGACCGAGCCTTTTTCGTTTTGTCAAACTTGCGACCCATCCGGGATCGTATTGTCCGAAATGGTAGTCTTTTTGAAAGAAGTTCAGAACATTTCTCCGAGAAATTTTTTCAGAGTGGTAATCAAAGGGGCTGATTATCAAAAAAAGACAATCTATTTCAGTTGTTGTTGTTAGATAAGGTTACGGTAATCATCCTGTACGAACTCAACTTCAGCTTTCACGAACATTGTGTTTTGGGGTTATTTAACGTGCTGATCACGATTACAGTATCTACTCTGTTCACTACTGTCCCACAGTAAGGCTGGTAGCAGTACAGTAGAATTTTCGTGAAAATCAAGAAACGATGCAGGAAGGTGGTATTAAAACTTGAGACTATCATTTTTGTAATCAGCATGACACAAGCCTTATATATGTAAGATTCAAGCTTCCTGGGATGAATAATGCAAAAAAAATTAAAAAATCAATGAGAGCGATAATTTTTTGACGGGCTAACGTCAATCTCTTACCCGCCCGTACTACTTGTGCATATATACTTGATCTTCCAAAAACAGCATCATTCTGCGAAGAATTTGAGTTGAAGTCTGTGCCTTATATCTATCCACGGCATACCTACCGTAACCTTACATTACAGTAGTCCGAGCCCGAACCGCTGTGGCTGGAGTTTTGCCTAGGTGTCTCCTATCATGTGCCACAACCCCGGAATTCCATCGATCTTACGTTCGGGTCGTATTGTCCGAAATGGCAGAACAGGTACGACCCACCGATGGGTCGTATTGTCGTGAATGTGTTAATCCGCCCAAGCTTTGTTTACATTAGATTCCTCTTTCTTTGGGACTTACATATCTTCTGCTTCAACATGAAGTTTTTGCAAAATCGTAAGAAAGAGTGCTTCGTTTCATCTTCCTGATATGAAGCTTGCTGATCAAATATCTTTCATTATGTAATTTTTCTATCTCCGCTGTTTTTAGAGCCCATTGATTGCAGTAAAGTTAACGCATTGCCAATTCAGTTATTTTTCGAAAAAGCTCTTCAAGCGCTTTTAATGACACACAACCATATACTCTGGAACCCAAATACTTGATTACATGCCTTTGCTGTGATATAGACTTCCTAGTATAAACAACCTGTCAGCTATACCGGATCTTCTACAGAATAACCGAATGATGATTGTATGGTCAATGTGTGGCGGAAATAGCGCTTTGGAATAAGTAGCTCCGCTGTGATATTGGACGTAAGCTTAGAGCTTTATTGAGTCAGACGACCTGCATGGGTGCAGTAGTAGAATGCTGCAAATGATGGGCGTAACAAAATAGTGTACATGTATCTGGGCTACAGAGATACTCGTATCACAGCAGGTCATGCTTATGGCATGACCTGTACGGTACTTAGCAATGAGTAAAGTGATACGGCAAAGAAGGGTGCCGAAATTGTCGGCACACTGCCACCGGCGGAAGGCGAATGGACAGCGAGGAACGTGATAAAAAATATAAAAACGACTGGTTGTTTCCAGAAAACAACAATCTGCTAAAGAAGGTGAAAAAGGTGCCGAATCTATCGGCACACAATGCTTCGATTATGTGCATTTGGAGGTTTTAGTTTTGCAAGAGGTTTGGGGTGTTCCTATCGCTGACCGTAATTCCTCACGAAAAATTAAAAGTTTAGATTAGTATCTTCTAAAGAGCTGTTGTGATAGCTGGCTGGTCCACGAAAAAATATCGATTAAATTTTTTTTGCATTTCGATTGGTAACTGTAAAAGCTGTCCCGGATAAGCCTTTGGGAAAGAACAGTAGCAGGCCTCTTCAGAGAAAGTCCTAAACTCCCAGAAGTATTCGAGGAGCATCTCCACTAGCCCCTACTTTTCCTTTTGCTTTTTTTTGCCATAAACGTCGATATGGCTATACGGTCGAGTGAAGCATAATTTTAGAACAAGCGATTCTCTCAGATTCCACATTATTCATTGTTCGTTTCAGAGCTGCACGTGATTTTCTTCTACATCTTTGGCATCTGCGGGATCGGGCATATGATTTCCAACATATTCTGTCACGCTCACTCACTCTACTACATAAATCCATATGTGAGTCCTCCTCAACTGTTCGAACATTCTATGTTTGATCATTTTAGGGCCGCACATCGTATTATCTGAAAATTCTCTTCACGTCGCTCTACTTATTGTCAGCGCCTATTCTGGTAGGATCATTTATGCTGTACTGGAAGAAATGCATCACTTGGGGTGAGCCATCTTCTATTCCGACGATATGAAATGTTCAAAATAAGTCCCTCTTCTAGGCTACGATGTGTTTGCCGTGTGCGAGTACTGCGGAGTCTTTTTGAATATCTGCTTCCATGGCTGTGCTTTCTTTGACATTCGCTACAAAGTTTGCTTTAGGTGAGTTTATCAGCAAAATATTGAATACAAAAGTTTTTAACGGCATTTTTACTAGATGACGCTTGTATAATGTTGACCGCGACGCTTACGAAAAATTTGAGCATGAAATGAGTGACATTCCACAGAGCATCACCTCGTCTGCGATTTTGACACAAAGTAATAAACACAACCTCACGAAACCTCCCAGGAAGTGCGGGAAAGAAAGCTATCGTGACAAGGAAGTATAGATTGAGAAGAGCCGTCTGATCATTGATCTTACAAATTTGTGATTCCATGCTGAGTGTTTTTGCATTTGAGAAAAGTATTCTATCTAAAACTCAAGTGTCAAAAACTTTCCGTTTTGCTTTGCTTTTCCATAAGCCGCAAATAAAATAGCTGTATTTTTCTATCAGTCTTAAAAAAATTTTATCAGGTTAACCACTTGAAAGATTATAGCGATAAACCAAATCAAGCATGATTTGGATTTTATTTTACCCTATACAAAGGCTTCACCATCTATAATAATAAGTACCTTCTTTTTTATGCCTAATTTTGCGAATGTGTGAAAATCGAGATATATTCGGCTTTTCTTCTTTTTATGTGATAGTTAATGGTGCATAATCTTGCAGATCACTTCTAAGTGAAATAAAAGAATACGTTGAATTTGAAGCACATTTGCTTCTTGTTTATATATACCAGCACTATGCTTCAATGCGATAACACCCTCATGTTGACTGAAAAGCAAAAAGCCGATAATTAAAAATAAAAAAGAATTTTCCATTGACATTTGAACGACTATATCTATTTATAGTGTTCACTGTATCTAATTCAGTGTTCGCCACGTTGAATCGGTGAAAGACAAGAGCAAAAAAGAGGAAGATTCGAAAAAAGCAAGTCCTGACATCGAGTTGAAGAACCGTGGACATGGCTAGAAGCTTCCGGCATTCCCCATCTGATGGAGTCGTAAGATGAAGAAATTTTATTTATTGATTTTTCGCTAGACAGTTTTTGTTTGAGACGCTCTCAATCTGTTTGTATATACTGGAAAATAAAGCATGTATTGTGGCATATAGATAAATGCACTAGATTTATCGCGTATCTAAGAGAACTCTTACAATTGTAATTTTATCTCAGTCTGCTTCAACCGTCGATGTGGGCGACCATGTTTTGTTTATTATACCATTTAGAGGTTACAGTCCTCTAGTAGACATGTAGGTGGGATAATTACAGCAATCCTTTCGTGATGTAGTCATCCTTTCTATAGAATAAATATCTTTGACCTTGTGGTGGAATTTTCTCATTTTCACGCGTTCAAGGCGCACCTTTTTCGATTTTCAAGGAGACGCTCAGCCGCCTCACTGTATTTCGAAAAATGATCCTTATGCAGCACGATTCTCTTGAGCAATATACAGCACAGCATAGGGTCCTTTGGTTGCAAGTTCTTTGGCGTGTTTGGGCTGGTCGATTTTGGAAAAAATATTCCCGCACCTTGTACGCATGAATTTAAAATAAGTGCAAGTCACTAAATCACTGTAACTTCGGTACCTCCGACCGGGTGCTTTTTCAAAAATACGTTGTTAATTGAGAATAAATGTTTACACAACTGTCGCCCACATTGCATGATCAACACCAAGTGAATGCATAGGGACCCTTTATACAACTTTAAATAGAAAGTTGACCATAGTCGAGCACAAACTATCAATTTTCAGCTTCTTCTAGTCCATCCATCTGTTATGACGCATCTCTACATGGACAAATTGAATTTGTATTTGTTCACATGACATTCCCTGATAAGCGTTCGACCCATATCAAGCAGACCGAATACTCCTAAGAACTGAATTTCCTTGTCCATGAAATTCGATACAGCCTGAAAAAAGTCATTATTAGGCACTTTCGGACTGTGATGAATAATATGTGGCTTACTTCAATGCTGGCCATCATGTGCTCTATTTGGATGATCTGATTGAGTCGGTCGTCAAAAGAGACTTTCCCCGAGTTGAGATGTGTAAGAAGAGCTGCTCGATGTCGCGCCTTCTCATGCGCTATCAATGCCTTTCCTTCTGCTGTTAGGCTGCTATAGGTGAAGCCTGAATATTAGTATTATTGACGTTTTCTCATCAACACCAAATTAGTCAAAGCATTCGAGAGCTAATCACAGTTTTTTGACCCTCGGTAAACCGAAGCATTTTTTAGGAGCGGCTCTCACTTCGTTGTTTGCGCCATATTAGTGATTGCTTTTTGGGTAGGGACCTATATGGATAGGATCCACCCAGCGCGGACAGCTGTTACATATAGTGCCCGTAATAGGCACAGCTGCGAGTTCGTTGCAGATGTTCGCGTGAGACTACTTCCTTTTCGCGACATGTAGTTCTCTACCCAACATTTTTGCATTTTTCTGACCAGCGATTGGAGGGTGTGGAGGGACACAGAAAGGGTCTTGACAGGATACTTCGCATATAGTCTCAACCAGGAACCGTTGCGAAGCCATTTCGAATTATTCCGGGTTCGAACGAGGACCTTGCAAGGATAGCACATGAGTAAGCTGGATATCGTTTGGACTGAAAGCAAAGGAAAACTCGCTTTTGCAGGGTCATTAGATAATCAGAACCTGATTTCCTGTAGTTGTATTGGTCATGTGATAACCCAACCTTCGAAACTTTCTCGACCGACATTGCCAAGTAATTCACGTAAATAGCCAACTCCTCTCTCTTTCGCACTTTTGCCTCCTTTCTCTTTTTCAATTCTTCGTCTTCACTCTGCAGACAAAACTGACGCTCATACTGCCTCACCATTCCATTCTCGGAGCAACAACAGTTCGAGCTCGGGCTCTTCAAAGTTGGTGGGTCAATGGTGATTGGAACAATGTACGAACCTTATAAAAACTAAGGTGATACAAAGATGTGGCAACAAGTTATTTGATCAAACCGCCGCCTACCACCTGAGGCCACCGGAAAGTTAAGGAAAAGATTGGAAGCAAGGGGCCTTTTCTTTTTATGAAGATTAAGAAATGAAAAGAATCATCATCTGCTTACCTTCAAACAAAAATATGTTCGCTTTCATCAGCACATAAGTGCAGTCGGTAATGCGAAGATAAGCCATTGGGAAGATGATCTCGGAGAAGAGGGCGTCGCAAAGTCGTGAGAATAATTTGCGAAGGCTTAAAGTGAAGCATCATAGAAATTGTAATGGAAATACGTGAATAGGTGGAGAGATTGACATTTTATTTACGAGAATGGCTGTCCTACAAATTGGAACAAAGGTCTTCTAGCAAACATGTTTTGAGTGGTAGCCTCTTTCTGAATATAATTGCAAACATCTTGAAGAAGTATTATGCACGTTTAATATTGCTTATTGTTAGAGCCAAAGTTGTAGTTGGTTTATGGCTGTGACTCAAGTTGATAGAAAAATCCTCAAATCGGCAACTGTTTGAAATTAGCTTAGTAAAATTTTGCAGGGTGCATTCGATCCGTTACCGTCGCGGCAAAGATTTGTTCCAGAGTTTCATCATTGATAGTCAAAGAGTTAAGACGAAACGGAGTGCATGTAAGATTTTTGATCTGACAATCATCCCGTACACTCAATTTCTGGTAACGGTGTTATCGTCAATGTCCGCCCGTAGTGAGATATTTTTAGTTATAGTAAAGGAACGATAAGGTGGAAGAGGACACGATCACTGGATAATAAAGCAAAGATCGCCGTGAAAAAGATAAATCACTAACTATTCGTCTTCGATTTTCACCCTCGCATCGCGTTCGTATGGAAACACATTGCCACAGCCGAGCAGTAGACCGCTGCAGCTTTCGCGGTAAGTTCGATAGCACTTTGTAAACAGCGAAAACTGAGTAAATCTTCCGATAAACACCTTCTCCTGCAAAAAAGAACAAATTAGATTTTTTAAACTCTAATATAATTAGAACAAACTGTAAATTTTTATGGTAGATGTCAAAGTAGATCTTTGAGATGCTAGCGATTCGGTACCCTTATTATAAGGAAGAAGGAAATTGCTTTTTTATGACGAGTGCAATTGAAAAAGTGGTGCAACCAATTTGCAAATATTCATAATCACAAAACATCTCAGACTAGCTTAGTTATACGCGAATTAAGCAAATGTTAACAAGTTCACGTAAATGTGATAGCAAAAACGGAAAAATGATGGAAAGCCAAAAAATGGGTGCTGCGGTGACTGGAAGTGTGATCGCTGAGCTCCATCCAAAATTATTTGGCTACATAGTAGCGGCATAAACACCATGCAATCCCGACGTTCGGGTCCGAGCAGAAAATTAACGGAATTTCATCATCCGCAAGGGAAGTAAAAAAACTGGGATTTCGCATTTCCAAGTCCGCATTGAAGTTTCAGAGAGCTTGAAAAGGACTTTGTAAACTATCGACTTCCTGGGTCCAGTAATTCAAAGAAAAACGACAAATACATTGATACTCAAACCTTATCTTCAGGCGACAGTTTTTTGAATGCTGGGAAATGATTGGCCCAATCTAGCATATGCACTACATCTCGTGCCCAACTTCGTCGGAAATTGTATGTATCCAGAAATTCTGTCGGCTTCCAGTTCCTCTGAACGAATCTTGTTTTTTCAACAGATGCCTATGGAAATGTGCTTAATCTTCGCTCCCAGAAGCAAAACAAAGCATGATGCTACCGTAAATCTGGGGCACTGAGGACATGTCTTTTCTATCAGCTGCTTTACTGTCGAATCCAGCATGCGCGATATCAACTCGTCTTCATCAGCTCGCGTCATATCGCTTGGTGTGACCGATGTGCTCTCACAGAACCTTAACAAAAATAATATAATGAGTTGATTCATAAATAATGTAAGTAATCAAGCAAAAATACAAACAAATAAACCGCCAACCTGTCCAAATTCATGTATAGGTTCGCAAGTTGCTCAGCCTCATCAACAGCAGTAAATTCACTTGGTAAAGCAGGCGAGTTGTCATTCTGAATCTTTAATTTAATTGCCCAGCATTCATACACATCAACACTATCACCTCAATGATTTTCCTGCTCAACGAATTGTCAGAGCTTGTAGAGGGCTCATCGCTCATTTCCGGCAATGCTACTGGAGAAGAATTGTCGGCTCTGCCACGAATTTCTAAAATACCATTGTTTTTGATTTATCAGCAGTATGCCCACATTAGTGCGTCTAGGATATTATAGAAAGTTACCGTTCGGGTTCATCCCAACTTGGACGCACTTCTTGTATCGACATGCCCGACACGAGTTACGTGAAGCTAAAAAAATCAAGATTTCGGGTCTTCAACCAGACTGGGCCTCATGCACAACCCTGAATCCATTCACAAGGCGTATGATTGGGAATGTAGTATTATATCAGTTGACACGAAAGTTTTTGCGTATTTTGTCTAAACCACTCAATATTTTGTTCAAAAATAGTAGGTGGTTTGCGCTCTGTGATAGTTGTTCAAGAATAATTCCTGTAATCTAACCACCAAGAACTAGAACTCAATAGATAGTGTATCAAATTCTATGATTCTGAGTTTGGTCTCGGAAGATTGTGGAGTACCACTAGTTAGCCTTAAAACACAGGTAAAAATTTTTCGCGTAATTAGTCCATACGTTCTTGAAGTCAGGATTTTATCTTGCATGGAAATATAAAAACCAAAAATTCTTGGGAAATGTCATTCTGGGGAAAAGCTTCTCTATAACCGCAATTTTTCAAGCAAAAACGATGTAAGTCTCTCAGGTTGCAAAATGAATCGATCCTTTATGTTTTAATTCGTTATGATATTGAGAAAGCATTATAAATAACGCATCATTAAATAATTGTTAAGTCAAAATTGGTCAAAGCAATATAAAGCTAATATAAATGATTCGTGCGTGCGACACTGCAGAGTCGATTTGGGTACGTCCATCATCTTCGAGCCAGGATTGAGTAGATCTTGTAGAATATACCTCTTTATTTTATGAACTCAAAAGACAGTCAAATTTGAAAAATTGGTCATCAATATCAGTGCCTTTGGTTATTCTTCAGGGACCATAATACATTGTTTCCTAAATACAAAGCAAATATAGCAGTGAACGAGACGTGCTTTGCATTTCACTCAGCTGATTGTTTTTTCTGATTCCTTTTAAAATAAATACTCAACGAAAATGCTACTTCGGCGAATGCCACAATGAGTGTATAAAGTGCGGTTCATAATTATACGAACACCCAAAATTTTGTAAGTTTTCGGACTTTTTGGGAGAAACTCAAAAAGCCGTTGGTACCACGCGAAAGAGCACAACCGAAAACGGTATATGATCCATAAGAATGGGAATTGATGTCAATCTTAGGAGTGTTTTTGCGCCTTATGCGAATTTTTAGCGGTTCATAATTATACGAACACCTCAAACAAAGGTCCATTTCTCATCCGCGAGTGCAATCATTTGAGTCCAAATTTTTTGTAGAGTTACAGTAATAAAGTCTGAAACACCTGCTGCACATTGAACCCATTGAAGTTCAAAAAAAGGACCGTTACTTTTTTCAGAAGGCTCTAAATGCTTTTGGAGTGATTGCGCTCCAAAAACAGCCGTTCTCCTGTGGTTTACGCGCTCTAATTAGCTTCTACCAAAGCTATGAGATAAAATAAGCTTTCTAGATAGGTATTTTGTTTGACGCTTGGAAAATCCTTGTGTTTTCGCGCCGTTTTTCAACCAAGTTCCAACCTTATCACAGAGTTAGCACGATTTGAGCCTCAAAACTCAGCTTCTGAAGCCGTACAATGAAGTAAGCATATAGTATGTAGAAGTTCACAAGACTGTATATTTGGCTAGAAAAATTCAGCAGCGTTGAGCGTTTGTTTTGGCCACGCAGACGTCATTTCACCAAAAACACTGTTTTTACTATTGCAATCACACCTCTATTTGGTTTGTAGCTCCGCAGCCTCAAGATCAGTTCTACAAAAAACCCAAAAACTTTGGCACAAAAACATCATCATGCAAGCAATGCAACTGCTTCATATCAGATGTTTGCGCAAGACAGAAGCTGAGTTTTGAGGCTCGAAATCGTGCTAACCATTAGGGTTGGGATGGAACTTGGTTGAAAAACGGCGCGAAAACGCAAAAATTTTCCAAGCGTCAAACAAAATACCTATCGAAAGAGCTTATTTTATCTCATAGCTTTGGTAGAAGCTAATTAGAGCGCGTAAACCACAGAAGAACGGATGTTTTTGGAGCGCAATCACTCCAAAAGCATTTAGAGCCTTCTGAAAAAAGTAACGGTCCTTTTTTTGAACTTCAATGGGTTCAGTGTGTAGCAGGTGTTTCAGACTTTATTACTGTAACTCTACAAAAAATTTGGACTCAAATGATTGCACTCGCGGATGAGAAATGGACCTTTGTTTGAGGTGTTCGTATAATTATGAACCGCTAAAAATTCGCATTAGGCGCAAAAACACTCCTAAGATTGACATCAATTTCCATTCTTATGGATCACATACCGTTTTCGGTTGTGCTCTTTCGCGTGGTACCAACGGCTTTTTGAGTTTCTCCCAAAAAGTCCGAATACTTACAAAATTTTGGGTGTTCGTATAATTATGAACCGCACTTTATTTTTTATGAAAACTTGCCTTTTGTTATTTTGCAGCAATTTCCTTTATAACATTCCAGATTTTTCGATGATAGATATACACGTCGAAAGAAGCCTTTGCAGCTCCTGTAACAGTTGTATGAGCATTAACCAGCTGTGAGAGTTTAAATTGATGTCTGGCCAATGAGCATGCTAAGAAACTTTTGCCAGAGGGAATCATTTGTTACTCAGTAATTAGTAAACAAAGCGAATTGTTTAACAGTGTTACAAAAGATTTTTGAATCTGTCTGAACTCACGGGCAGCATATCGTTCCGTAGTGATGTTGAGCGTTAGTATCGGAACAAACAAAGCATTGACTCATGTTCCGAAACACTGTTAATGCTACGTCTGCCTAAGCAAGTTCATTTCCAAATGCTGGAGCAGCAATCCATCTGTGATAACATAGAAACTTAGCTATGCAAGTTTGATGAGTTTAAAGAGAAGAAGTTGAAAAGGCAACTTATTAGAATAATTGCGCGGATTTTATATAGTTAGTAATAAATCCTTAAGGGAGACAGATATTGGCTTATTAACACACGCCCCACCCTATACATTATGTACGCCGAATTTGGTTCAATCTGTTACTTTGCCTATTCTTTTTAGGCGAAGATGCAAAAAATGGCTAAGCCAAATATTATATAAGTATGGATATATAGAGATTTATTTCAAAAAAAAATCACTCATAAAGCTGCGTCCAGAGAAGAACGGCAAAAAATAAAGGCAGATCTTGAATCATCTTTGAATGCTTCTCAAATTGGTGTTAATACTATGTGAAAAGGCCAGTTCGACTAAAAGCACTTCCCTCGTAAGTTCAAGAGACACACAAGACAAGAAGCAGATAATGCTGCATGGCAGGCGATAAGTGTCATGCTGATGTGATTGTTATCATTGATGTAGACTTTCTGTTGCCATGGGGACTATCCACGGTAGGAGAGCGCTCCTGTATTGCCTCATCTCTACTTGATGGCAGCGTCCGGGCAGATTCTCGACCTCCATTTTTGCCTTATCCAGGCATTTTCAAGGCGCTGATTTCAAACATGAAATTCAGGAAGCATATTCCTCCAAAAAATCCTTTTTTGAATATTTTGTGAGAGCTGTGGACGAGTGTTCCTCGCTATTCTTGTCGCAAGAAGCGTCAACGTTAAACAGTATGCTTTCAGTGGTGTTCGCCATGTGAGAACGTATCAAGGTGTAGAGAGATCTCTTCAAGGCGGTTCGATTCGCAAAGAAGTGGGCGGAGTTCGCATAGCTCTCGTGATTTGCAAGCCGATTTTCTCCTTTCAGAGGGGGTGTTTGGAAATCCGATTTGCGTTATATTTCCAGATCGAGACTCTAGTACTCGATTATAATGGTATCCGAGAATGTCCAAATCTGCCTGGATCTGCTTTCAGAGTGCAGGTCATTCAAAAAAGGTAAATGAATGAGCAGAACTTCAAAGAAGAGATTACCTCAGAAACTTCTGAAAATTGCTTTAAGATGCATTCAACATTTGGTACTATAAAATCACACGTGTCCTAAAATTACGTTGACAAATCGTGATGAAATTCAATAATAAGAAATATGGAGGCCCATACGGTACCATATATCTTTTTGTAGCTCATGATCTTTTTCTTCAAGCATTATTCAACTTTATTAACGCTTTCAAGACTATTTGCTTTTATAATTTACGTAGTCTTTTTGAAAACTGGCATGTTGCCCTCTGGATCATTTTTCACAAAACTCAGTTCCAACTTTAGCAAAAACAATCTTAACCCAGCAATTGATTTATGAGGCTCATCAGAGCGTGTTTTCGATTTGAGATAGTCATACCGAAAGTTCAGCAGACCTATCGATTGGGTATGAAGTTAGTCTCTTTCCTTGACACAGTCGCGTTATACCTCCCCTTAAATCTGCCATTTCCACGGATTTGCTGAAGCAGATCCGTGGAAGTGCTTTATATTTGCTTGAAAGAGGAAGACAAGACTATGTGAATGATTCCAAACTTTTTTGGTAATCATATTGATATGATAACAAAATTTTGAGCCTAACGAGTCAACGTGATTTCGGAACACATGGTAGTCATTGCTTGATGTTCAGGGTGTCCCAAAAAAATGTGAACACTGTTTGATCGTTAATAACTCCGTTGCTTTCATGTCTTTCGCCGAGCTTGAGGCACCGTTCTGTGGAGCGAGGTTCAACTTGATTTGTAGTATACTTGGGTAATTCGATAATTTTTCATCGAATAAATGAATATCGAATAAATTCGGAAAATCAAAAATATCGAATGAATGAATTTCGAATAAATTCGGAAAATCAAAAATATCGAATGAATGAATATCGAATATATTCGAACATTGGAAGTCGAATTTCGAATAAATATTCGAATGATTTATCAAATAACTAAGGCAATCACATCTCAAACTTGCCGACATATCTGGATAAAGCCGAATCATAATCAGCCCCCTAGTATCCCCTATACCAACTCCTAGCTCAAAATTTTT